TGGGGCCATGCGTGTACCCATGGCTGTGCCGCTGATCTGGAGGTATAAGTTGTTCTCAAACTGGAAATAATTGTGGGTGAGAACAAAGTTACATAGGTCTGCTATCAGGTTGGCAGTAGTGTCCTCTGGGATAGTGTTTCTAATTGCTTGTAATCCGTCTTCATGTGGGATGTTGGTATATAGAGCTTCTACATCCATGGTGGCAAGGATGGTATTATTGGGGAGGTTATCGATGTTTTGTAGTTTCCTTAGGAAGTCAGTAGTGTCTCGGAGATAGCTGGGGGTATTGGTTACGAAGGGTTTGAGAAGAGTGTCTACATAGCTGGATAGACCAGTAGTGAGCGTGCCAATACCAGAGATGATGGGACGTCCGGGGTGCCCAGGTTTATGGATCTTGGGAAGTAGATAGAACAATCCTGGTCGGGGGTCAGAAGGTGATTCTGTGAGGATTTGTTCCCGAGTAGCTGTGGGGAGGCTTTTAAGGAGACAGTGTAGTTTCTTTTGGTAGTCCAAGGTGGGATCAGAGGGGAGAGGTTTGTAAAATGTGGTGTTCGAGAGTTGTCTGGTTGCCTCCTGGTTATAGTCGGCCTTATTCATAATGACCACAGCACCCCCTTTGTCAGCTGGTTTGATTACAATGTCCAGGTTGTTTTTGAGACTCTGGATGGCATGGTGTTCAGCGCGGCTAAGATTGTGTGTCGCTTGTTGTCGTTTGCGAATAATGTCAGTCTGTGCGTTGTTGCGGAAGCTGTGTATATAGAAATCCAGATTGTAATTCCGACCGTCAGGGGGAGTCCATATAGAATTATTTTTCCTTTGGTGTTGGTAGGGGGGATCTGGTAGGTCAGATTGATGTTCAGTGGTGGTTTGGAAATATTCTCGGAGACGGAGGCGGCGAAAAAAAGCCTCAAGGTCACCACAAAATTGTATCCAGTTTGTGGGGGACGTGGGGCAGAAAGAGAGACCCCGGGACAAGACAGACTCTTCTGCTGGATTGAGTTTGTAGCTGGAGAGGTTAACAATATTATCCGGTGGGTTGAGGCAGTTGCTGTTGTAGCCAGTGGTATGGAGCAGGTTAGAAAATTTATTGTCTTTTCTTTGTTGTAGGGAATAGAAGTGTGTATAGTAGATTTCTTGTCTGGTGGAACAAAAGTCTTGCAAGGTGTCAGTCGGTGTGGATGTTTGTCTTGAGATGAGACGATCTAAGTTAGAAATGTCATTCTTGATGGTTTTCTGTTTCTTGTATAAAATACTTATCAGGTGGTTTCTTAATTTCTTGGATAGTGTGAGGCAGAGTCTTTCACTGTAGTCAGTGAAGTATGTTGATCTTAGTGGATTGTTCACTTTCAGTCCTTTGGGTACGATGTCCATTTTCTTGCACTTGGATAGAAAGATGATGTCTGTCTGTATCTGTGCGAGTTTCTTCATATGGTTGATGGATTTCCATTCCAAACGGCTAAATGTAGTGCCTTGCATGTAGAATAGTGATAGAAATGTAGCCGTGTTAGTCTGGGGTAGTTGAAGCAAAATGCAGGACAATGTAGCACTTTAAAGACTAACAAGATGGTTTATTAGATGATGAGCTTTCGTGGGCCAGACCCACTTCCTCAGATCAAATAGTGGAAGAAAGTAGTCACAACCATATATACCAAAGGATACAATTTAAAAAAATGAACAAATATGAAAAGGACAAATCACATTGCAGAACAGAAGGAGGAGGCGGGGGGGTGGGAAGGGGGAGGAAGGAAGGTAAGTGTCTGTGAATTGCTGATATTAAAGGTAGGGAGAGTGGGATGTTTGTGAGTTAATGGTATTACAGGTGATAATTGGGGAAACTGTCTTGATAATGGGTGAGAAAGTTCAAAGACTTGTTAAGTCCCTGGTGGTAAGTGTCGAATTTTAACATGAATGACAGTTCAGAGGATTCCCTTTCAAGTGCAGATGTAAAAGGTCTTTGTAGCAGAATGCAGGTGGCTAAGTCATTTAGAGAGTGTCCTTTCTGGTTAAAGTGGCAAGAAACTGTTTTCTCTTTGTGATCTTGTCTGATATCTGTTTTGTGGGCATTAATCCTTTGGCGAAGTGTCTGAGATGTTTGTCCAATGTACATAGCAGACGGACACTTTCGGCACATGATAGCGTAGATTATATTTCTGGATGCGCAGGAATATGTGTTCTTGATCTTATAACTCACTTGGTTAGGTCCAATAATGGTATCAGCAGAATGAATATGTGGACAAAGCTGGCAACGGGGTTTGTTGCAAGGGAAGGTACCAGGGTTGGTATTAGTGTGGTATGTCCTGTGGTGGTTGGTAAGAATCATCTTGAGGTTAGGTGGTTGTCTATAGGAGACTATGGGTCTGTCTCCCAGAGCCTCTTTGAGTATGGTATCCTGTTCCAATATAGGCTGTAGTTTATTGATAATGTGTTGGACAGGTTTAAGTTGGGGGTTGTAGGTGATGACAAGTGGTGTTCTATTGTTGGTTTTCTTGGGTCTGTCTTGAAGTAGATGGTTTCTAGGTATTCGTCTGGCTCTTTCAATTTGCTTTTTTGTTTCTCTGGGTGGGTAGTTGAGATTTATAAATGCTTGGTAGAGATCCTGAAGCTTCTGGTCTCTGTCAGTGGGGTTAGAGCAGATGCGGTTGTATCGAAGGGCTTGGCTATAGACGATGGATCGTGTGGTGTGTTCTGGATGGGAGCTGGATGCATGTAGGTAACTGTATGAGTCAGTGGGTTTTCTGTAGAGAGTGGTGTCTAATTTTCCATTGTTGATTTGTACGGTGGTGTCCAGGAAGTGGATCTCTCGTGTAGAATGGTCCAGGCTGAGGTTGATGGTGGGGTGTAGGTTGTTGAAATCTCTGTGGAATATCTCCAGTGTTTCTTGGCCATGTGTCCAGATCATAAAGATGTCATCGATGTACCGTAGGTAGAGGAGGGGTGAAAGGGGACGGGAGTTGAGGAAACGTTGTTCTAGGTCAGCCATAAAGATGTTAGCATACTGTGGGGCCATGCGTGTACCCATGGCTGTGCCGCTGATCTGGAGGTATAAGTTGTTCTCAAACCGGAAATAATTGTGGGTGAGAACAAAGTTACATAGGTCTGCTATCAGGTTGGCAGTAGTGTCCTCTGGGATAGTGTTTCTAATTGCTTGTAATCCGTCTTCATGTGGGATGTTGGTATATAGAGCTTCTACATCCATGGTGGCAAGGATGGTATTATTGGGGAGGTTATCGATGTTTTGTAGTTTCCTTAGGAAGTCAGTAGTGTCTCGGAGATAGCTGGGGGTATTGGTTACGAAGGGTTTGAGAAGAGTGTCTACATAGCTGGATAGACCAGTAGTGAGCGTGCCAATACCAGAGATGATGGGACGTCCGGGGTGCCCAGGTTTATGGATCTTGGGAAGTAGATAGAACAATCCTGGTCGGGGGTCAGAAGGTGATTCTGTGAGGATTTGTTCCCGAGTAGCTGTGGGGAGGCTTTTAAGGAGACAGTGTAGTTTCGGCCTTCCAAGGGAAGTAGTGGGGGCAATAGATCTATCTGGTTTCAAGATTAAACTAGATGGGTTTATGAAGGGGATGGTTTGATGAGATAACAGGATCTTGGTATCTAGTTGACCATTCATTATCAGTGGGAAATAGGTCAATGGAGGGATGATAGGCGTTACTATAGAGAACTTTCTGGGTGTCTGGCTGATGAGTCTTGCCCACATGCTCAGGGTTTAGCTGATCGCCATATTTGGGGTCGGGAAGGAATTTTCCTCCAGGGTAGATTGGCAGAGGCCCTGGAGGTTTTTCGCCTTCCTCTGTAGCATGGGGTACAGATCACAGCTAGAGGATTCTCTGCATCTTGGGGTCTTCAAAGTATTTGAAGGCTTTAATATCTGAGATATAGGAGAGAGGATTATTCTGGGAGGAGTGGGTGAGATTCTGTGGCCTGCACTGTGCAGGGGGTCAGACTAGATGATCATAATGGTCCCTTCTGACCTTAAAGTCTATGCTTAAGGGGGAAAAAGGGAGGGAAACAGTATTTGTATCACAGTTCTTTATCATCACTGACAAGTGTATTGTTTTAGTACAAATTTAAGAAACTTTTTAGGGTAAGTTACTCACACTAACTGTAGATGAAGGCATCATTATTTAATGCCAGGAGTACATCCATTTTCAGCTCAACTTTCTCCCATCCACAACACCTCTAAACTTCATGTCCCTGCTTTTAGAAGCAAACTACTCTAGTAGAAGCTAAGTTGCAATGAGTCACAAACTTATTTCTAGTCTTACAAACTTCTAACATCCTGCTGTTAATGTCAATGCTTGATCAATTACTTGAACTGTCCACCACCTCATCTGAACTGCCTATATAGCAAGCAAATTTACTGTTTTAACTTTGCTTGGTTAGTGCTGATCTCATTGCCCCAGCAATTTTATACTATAATTTTAATCAGAGACTACACCAGCCTCTCTAGTAGGTTTTGCTTATTATAATTGATCAACCAATATTCCACCTGTTAGAATGACTGTTGAAGATAAGCGATTTCATGCTTATGAGCCACAATAATTAAGCTTCAATTTATCACATCAGTGGGAAAGGGATAACTTTGTTTATACTAAAAAGTGTGTAGGTTTTTTTAAACTGCTTGTACTCATTTGTTTCCATATATACCCAAAACATGTATTGTACTTCTGTAAACCACAAATATGATCAAAACAAACTAGGCAATATCGAAATGTGTTCGATACCATGAAGACAGAATATATTGCTAGTCTAAAGAATTGGTCTAAAGTGACATGGATTACTTTTAAAATGTTCATTGTAGTCATGTTGTTTGAATAAGGTCATTTCTGAAAATCCAAGAGATAGGCTTTTAGCAAAAATCTGCAGTTACCTAATGAAGGTTTTGGAACAAATTCTGCTCTGATTCACTACAGTTCATGCTGCTACAACAAAGCAGAATTTCAAAACTCTATTGTATGAAGAGAATAGCAAAGTACATTCTGTGCTGATCATAATTACCAATTATGAGATGGCATATTCTTCCTACTAACTTTCTACTTTATTAGATTTGCTCACTAGTAGATAACAGAATATACTAGTCATTTTTTTTAATGAAATTGTGATTACATTTCCCACAAAAGTAAAGGAGGTCACTTTTTGACAGTCATCTTTTAGGGCTTGATGAGACATTAATTTATATATAAAAATCTTTACTTCCTTTGAAAAGTATATTGAAACCAAATAAATGTTTCATCCCCTATTTAATAGAAAAAGGCTTTATTGCTTATAGTATGAAACTTTATTCCTTTAAAATGCTGAGCTTCAAAAACTCTTCCCCTGTGAGGAATAAATAGTTCTTAAGGGAAACAGCACCTTAATTCTTGAACCAAGAAAATAAGTTGTAGTCATAATTTAACTGTTAGCAATCAACCATTTTATACAAAGTACAAATATTGACATTCTAAAAACTATACATCATATTAAAATACTAAAAAGCCCTAACAATTATCTTAAACAGTTTCCTTGCTCATTGTTTCATAATGCCAGTCTGTAAAGTCCTCTGTAATCTAGCTATGTTGGCATCCAAGGCTGCTAGACCATTTTTAAAGTCCTCTTCATCTCGTGAAGTAAATGTTGAGAAGGAAGAGATGCTCCATTCAGATTTTCCTGACATACAGTCAAAAGTACAGAAACTAGAATTGGATATTTCAGTACCTTTTTTCTGAATATTCTCATTCTGATGTGGTATGTGAGTGTAAAGATATGTATCAGATTGAGGGGTCTCTGATTTATCTATAAAATGTTCAGCAGTTCCAATTCTTACTTTTGGCCTCACTAGGAGCTTATCTCCTGCCAGCTCAGTTTTCTTCCCTGTGGTTTCAGATGTATTTTCTACTGTGTTTCTCAAATTGTAGCCACCGCTGAATTTATCAAAAGTCTTTTCATTCTCCAACATCCCAAATTCATTCTGCTTCTGAGAGTCAGAAAGTCCACAGCTGTAGTCCATCTTCTTGGAAGTCATACTAACCTGGTGTTGTGCACATGTATTTCTTTCCGATATTGATGGCTGTTTCTTAGAGGCACTGCTAGTCAATGGAATATAAATGGTCTCATCCAGTTTGTGTTCTTCAATTAGAGTCCCAGAATCACTAATTGTTTCTGTATCTTGCTTTGACAGGGTGGGAAAAATTCTTTGAACTGTTTTTTCCTCTAAAAGAGTACTTTTTTTATGAGCTCCTTCAGCAACAAACTTTTCACAGGGTAGACCCAGCATTTCTAATTCTCCAGTTGTCAAAATCTGATCACTTTCTAAATTTTTAAGGTAACTCATTATAGAAGTACTCACTGGAAAAGGGTTGGGATTCAGCTGTTTTTCATGGTCTTCTAGAAGAGATTTTGTAAGACCTTTTTCAGGTCTATGTCTAACATTGTCTACAGTAAGGTCAGAGAGAAGCTTGGTCATGCTGTTCTGCAAGGTTCTGTTAAGAGTAATTAATTAGGTCATTCATTATGTGTGACTTTCCATATACCATATTTAATATTTAGATTGCAATAATGTTAAACTAGGAATGTTAAGTATCAGTTAATTAATCTAGTAGTCAATGGAATTTCCATTGACTATTCAATTAGTTGATGAGGGGAAGGAGTCACACCATCTGCAGCTCAGCACTTTAAATATAAGAAGAGCCTGCTGGCTTCTCACTACATTTAAAGTGCAGAACTGCAGCAGTTCCAGGGGTGTTCAGGCCCAGCTTGCACCACTCCCAGAAGCTGACCCTGCTGTTTAAACCATGCTCGTGCCACCCCCAGGATTGCTGCAGCTCTGTACTTTAAATTTAGTACAGGCTCCTACTACATGTAAAATGCAGAGCCCCTCCCCCACACAGCAGAGACAGTGCTGGGGGGAATCCGCTTTTAAGCCAGCTCCCACTCCCAGCACTGGCTTCAGCTTTTAACCCTAAGCCCCTCCCCTCCCCCCCAGCACTGGCTTCTGCCCCCGTTTGCTGCTTCTGATACAGAGAAGAGCGGAGGTGGAAGGGTGTGGTGGAAGTGACTAGTTGAGTACTCACTCAACTACTCAATAAGCCTATGCTTATTGGGTAGTTTACTAGTCGCTTACATCCCTATTAAAATCTAATTAATATTCCGCAAGAAAGCACAAAAATCAATACAAATTGTAAACTACTCACGCTCTATTGAGTATCATTCTTTACTTCAATGAAATATACCTTTGAAATTATTAAAAAACAGCAAGCAGTAAAATTCTCACCTTAAGAAACACTTAAAAGACTTTGAGAACAAAAGTTATAAAGTAACTAGAAGATGCAGTATCATTGATTTTGGCCTACATAATACTTACTCCTACCATAATTACTGAGGACTAGTTTAGATGAGCTCTTGTGATCCCTTCCAGGCCTTCGATTTTCAAAGTTTGTGTTAAAATATGAGGCTTGCTTTTGAATGTAATGTGCACATTATGCTTAAGGAAATATTTAAATAAAGGAATACACAAGGGTAAATTACAGTTTTTCATTTTTTGCTTCCTCTGTCAAGCCAAATGAAGGCTCAGCTGATGACATGTAAAATATGGCTATCACCCTCTAGTGGTTAGCAGTTAGTATAGTTACAGGAATATATGTAAGTTGTATATACACTAATATATACTATGGGGGGGGGGCTAATTCTGAATTTTGGACAAAGCAGAAGGATAAAATTTGTACTGCATATAAGTTAAATATAAACAAGTCATGTAACTAGAAATCCATTATCAGATTAACAAAAATCTACATGTCCAAAAGATTATGAAGCCTCAATCCTTGCCATTATGAACTCATAGTTGATAGAAAAATTGCTTCTTCCCACAGGAAAACCAATTGCAGGTCCAAAAGGGAGAGGACCTCCAAGGTTCTTCTCAGAAAGATTCCTGATCTTTTCACCAAGAAAAGGGAAACTGTCTTCTCTTCAAAAAGGGTGCAGAACTAATTCCCAACTCTGAAAGCTCCTAGGGAAGGATTAGCAAAATACAGGACTATGTAGCACTTTAAAGACTAACAAGATGGTTTATTAGATGATGAGCTTTCGTGGGCCAGACCCACTTCCTCAGATCAAATAGTGGAAGAAAGTAGTCACAACCATATATACCAAAGGATACAATTAAAAAAATGAACAAATATGAAAAGGAAGGATTACACCTGGGTAGCTAGCACTAGTGACACAAACAAGGTCACTGTATCCCCCCAGAAAGCAGCCATGTGTACAGCATGTGGAATTTGACCTACCTGACATGTATAGAAATAACTTTTTAATTATCGCATACCTTAGAAAGATGGAAGTAAAAACGTGTCTGTTTGCTAAATTATTAGTTTTATTGTTCTATCATGCTGACATAACCTCTCTCCCCTGTTTATTTTGTCTATTTGTTTACTTTGACCCCTGTATCATAAGCTGTCAGGAGGAAGGAGGGTGTACTGTTTGTCTCTGATTGTACAGTGTTAGGATTGCTCTGGTCCCTGATTCTTTCGACAGCATACAAATCCAAATAAACAAGACCACTCAGAGAGTGTCTAGACCTAAAGATCTTACAACCTAACACAAAGAAAATACAGGGAAAGGCTGCACAATTATTTCAACAGTTTCAATAATTTAAAATAAGAAATAAATATAATAAGAAATGTAAAGAAAAACAGTGTGGCCTATATTACCGAGTCAATTCATGCAGTCTGTTCACTTCTGCATCACGTTGACGTAATGTTATGCCCAAGATCTGATTTTCTTTTTCTGAGGCTTCCAGCTTAAACTGGGAACTCTTCACATTTGCCAATGCCTCATCCACTTCTAAAATGCCAAGCACAATTTTTGTCTTTTTTAAAGTGCAAAAACACCAAGTGAAAAAAATTAAGTCAGTTCAAAACACACACCAATTTTTAGTTTTGTAGTTTCAATGTCATGCTGCTGTTTGTTTTCAAGAATCTCTCTATCTTTCTCCTGGATAAGTTTTGCAAACTCTTTATTTTCTTCCTTCTGGTTTTCTATTACTTTAAGGAGCTCTTCATTTTTATTGTGCAGTGATTCAAGGCCCTTTAAAGATTCTTTGAGTTGACTCTGGAGTGTTATATTCAGGGATTGTAGAGAAACTACTATAGGAACAGAAAAATAGCAGTTTTTTCAATCTTTTGTTTCTATGCCCAAAAGAAACATAATGTTAACTATTAAAGTCATAATACAAATTCTTAGAAATTAAGAGTGACAGAGTAACTAAGAGTAACTCGTTAAAGTCAGAATTGTTCTGTGCATATTATCATACAGTATATCAAGTGTAGAGAGAATTATCTTCCACTATAAAACAGAAAATATGTAATTAAATGGTGTATTTAGAAAGATTTCTATTAGATCTAAATACTGAAGTCCTATTATCCTTTACTGGAATCACAAGAATGTCACAATTGATGTATCTGCACCTACCACCAAAAGAATATAACTATTTTCATTAACGAAAAATGTTGTCTCATATATCCTATGACAAGCTACCTACAACTAGGGATGTTAGATACCATGTAATTGAATAATCGTGTAATTGCACAAAATATTATTACATGATTATTCAATAGTCCCCAGTGGCACAGCCAGGATCTAGAGAACTCTAGGCCTCACATCCTGGGAGTCCTCTGCCATCCTGCACTGCTGCCTCTATCAGAGGCAGAAGCACGGGGTGGCAGGCGGGAGCCAGTCTGCGAGGGGACCCACTTTAAAAGCCGGCTCTCTCTGCAGACTGACTTCCAACTGTCACCTCATGTTGCTGCCTCTGATACAGGGCCCAAGATCCCCACAGACAGAGGCCCTGCCAGCATCCCTTGGAGCAGCCTCTGTTAAATTTCCATTAGCTGACAAGGACACCTCTACCTTTGAAATGTAGCAACAGCCCCAGGGAAGTGCAGAATTGCAGTGCCGCATGGAGCTCAGGGTCAGCTGGGACCTCTGAGTCCCCAGCTGACACCGCGCTCCATGTGGCACTTCTGCTCTGAAGCATCCCCCCCTTGCTGACTCTTTCTGATAGGCAGATGGGGGATAAAGAACGACTAGCCGTTCACACCCCTACTGTGGACAGACTGCTCTGTACCTCCCCCAGCCTCTGTGGGAGGCAGCAAGGAGGGGGCAAGGGGCTCTGCAGAGCTGGCTTAAAAGCCAGCTCTCCATGTGTATCAGCTCCCGCCTGCCCCCCTCCCCACTGCTTCTGAGACAGAGGCAGGAGTGGGGTGGGGAAGAATGCGTGCAGCCGACAGGAATATCCAATAAGCCCAGGCTTGTCAGTTAATTGTGTAGTCAACTACATGCTGACTATAGCCAGACAGGAACCCCCCCTGTAATATCCATTTTTGCTTGCCTGAAGCATGCAGGGCACACAGAACAGAAGGCCCAGGCTGCTGTGACCGTGAATGGCTGTAAACAGAGATACGCCAATTGCTGACCAAGAGGCTGCCAAGGAGTGTCCTTGACTTAACCCACATTGATACGAACACACAGCCGTCCGCGGGGGGAGGAATCTCTCGCCCAGTAAAAAAATGTCTAGTACTCACAATTTAGTTCTCTCTTGCAAGTGTAAATTAACTTGCAACTTGCTTGTAAGAACTGGCGCCACAAAACGGACCAGTACAATTTGGCCTCTTAGATAAGAAAGAGGATACAGGCCCCCAGGTGTATAAAGATGGGTCCAGCAGCACATTTACTTTAAGTGTCAATCTACCATCTATCTGCTGGTCAGGTTAGGTGTTTGATCTCCCAAGGTTCCAAGGGGATGCTCACCTCGTATTCGTCTTTCCTAGGAATTGAGAGACCAGCCCTGGCCTGACACGCTGGAGTCGAGAGGCACAGAAAAGGGTAAAAATTGTACCTGGATGTGGTCCTTTGTCTTAAGTGTACACATAGACTTAGAGCTCTTTAAAGATTAAGCTGTCACTTAGTACCATTATTTCTATTTTCTATCTTTATTTTCTTTGTAACTATTTTTAAAATCTGTATTTAACAGTTAAGAGAGAGCAATAGCCATTGTAACCATATGCTTTTATAAGTCTTTTAATAAACCTGTCACTGTTTAAGCTTTAACCTGACTCCTTCAGTTGCTGTAATAGAACCAAGCACAATTTAAAAGAACTTCAGCCGGTCATAAAAGACAGGTATAAGAAGAGCTTAAGCGTTTAGATTTGTGTAACTCCCAGGTGACAGGTCTGCTTGGGTGTCTTTTGGCCTGCTGGCTACCCTCTGCGATGGGACCCCAGTCCTAGCAGTAAAGACACGGACGTTAAAACTTTTCTCGGAACACACACACACACACACACACACACACCCACACACACACCCCCCCCCTGACTGTCAGCTGACACTGCTACCTAAAATAAAATATTTAAGGATTAATTTTCTCTTTAAAAAGCGACCACAAGACTTGGTATTGCTCACAGTGATATCTAAGGCCCTGATGCTGCAGTGACATGAACAAGAGTACATCCATATAGAGCCTGACAGACCTCAATATATTTGCACACAGCACAGTACAAGACTGGGACCTAAAACTTCAGGCCTGTCAAGATAAGTCCCTATCATCACAGTGATAAAATGTGGAATGCAGTTTTTATATTTTAAACAGGCAATAAATTAGTTATTTAATTCTGTACTTGTACGTTGAGTACTAGTACTGAATTTGCATATATATTTTTGCAAAGTGGTATTTTCTTCCCTTCTCCCCAAATTAGTAAAATATTTTTAGGTTGGTGTCATGGCAACATTACCCACTGCCACAATAAATTACAACAGATAAGCTGTACTTGTCACCTAATGATAAAGTGCAGATTTTTTGCAGAGTTCTTCCAAAAGAAGACAGAGGAAAACTGTTTTTCTACTTTTCCTCCATTTCCTACACTATCACTTGCAATATACCAGTACTTGCATTCAAAGTTGCAATCCAGGCTGGTTTCCTTTTCTGCTCTCTCTCGCTCCCGGAGTTGCTGGTTCAATATTCTTAGTCTCCTAAATGTGAATGATAAAGCATAAATGGAAGAAGTCCAAATACAAAATAAGCTTAAAAAAAACCCCTGAATATCAAAACTGGTTTATATATGAAAGTTTGCTAATTTAATGAGAACAGAACCACCACCAATGTTTTTTTTTTTTGGATGTTAAAGTTTTAATAATCCATGTTATCAAAGTCTGCATTTCCATCTTTCTTTAGTTGAATGAACTCTCCTGAAAAATCATAAGTTCACTCCATTTTGACTCAGAGGAAAGGAGTTTCTACTTTCACATTAAGGATGTACCGGGAAAGAGATCCTTGCTGCATTTCAGAACAGACTGTCTAAAGACTTATTCATGCTAATTACTTGGGATTTGCAATTTAAAGATGGAATATCCACTGGTACTTAAAGGAAAAAGCTTAGTGTTGGGGAAAGACGGCAATATGTTTCAAATGGAAAAAAATATACACACGAAAAAAGAATACTTCCTGCTTGTTCTTGAAATGGGTTTGCACATACTTTTGAAAAGCACTATCTAGGACCCTTGTAATCTATTCAGGTTAGAGATCGATTAATAAGAAACTGTTTTATGAGGCAAGTCACATACTAATGTAAAGAACAAAAACGTTGTTTCAGAAAGGTAATATTTAAAAGTTATTATATCCCATATGTTTTCTCTGGAGATAGGTGAATTTACAGTCACTATGCTTTCACATGGACAAAAACATGTAGCAGAGCTGTGACAGTTAGACGTGGCAAAACTAAAGGTTTTTTCCCCTCTCATTTTGATAGTTAATATAAATTTTTAGAGATTTTGAATTTATTTTTACTGGAAAATAAGGTGGTCTAAGGGTGGAGTTGGGGCAGCACTGGCAGAAGAGCTGCAGAGGGCTCCCTGCACAACAGCATAGTGTAAGTTAACTGGTGCAAGGTGCATGAGAGACAGCACAGAGATCCCTGTCAAGACTGCCAGGAGTAGGACAAGCCTCCCAGAAAAGGCAAACCTGCTACTGAATGGCTATGTCCCAGCCAGATACCATTCACCATGAGAGAGGTCTTCCCTGCAGCTGGGAATTCCTCCTCCTCCTCACAGTGCTGGCCAAGGGTCTCTGCTTTGCCTTGCCTGGTCTGCCTTCTTCCCTGCATCTTATGGTTTCAGGGATTTGGTAGTCTTGGCTATATGACTATGCAGAAAACCCTCTGCAAATCCACTGTCAGAGGGGTAGCTGTGTTAGTCTGGATCTGCAAAAGCGACAAGGAGTCCTGTAGCACCTTATAGACCAACACAGAGGTCCCCAACACGGCGCCCGCGGGGGTATTTGTCTGCGCCTGCCAAGTGCTCAGGGCTGGCCTGGCCCCGGGCACATGGCGCATGCACGGTGCTGGCCCCGGGTGCGTGGCGCATGTGTGGTCCCGGGAGCACAGTGCGTATACAGCCCCACCCCCTGGATGCGCGGTGTATGTGTGGCCCCGCGCCCGGATACCCGGCAGCCCCAAAAGGTTGGGGGCCACTGCCTTAGGGTATGGCTACACTGCCACCCTGGTTCGAACTAGGGTGGCTAATATATGTGCTTTGGGGAGGGGGGGAGAGAGCCCCGGCCCCGGGCGCACGGCGCTTGGGGGAGGGGGAGGAGAGAGCACCAGCACCGGCCCTGGACGCGCGGCGCTTGAGGGGAGAGCGCCGGCCCCGGAATGCGGCTATGGGGGGGGCCCTGCCCCGCCCGGGCGCCCAGCGGGCGAACGGCCACGCCCCCTGGCGCCCGGCAACCCCAAATGGTTGGGGACCACTGGACTAACAGATGTATTGGACCATAAGCTTTCGTGGGGAAAGACCCACTTTGTCAGATGCATGTAGTGGAAATTTCCAGAGGCAGGTATAAATATGCAGGCCAGAATAAAGCTAGAGATAACAAGGTTAATTCAGTCAGGGAGCGGATGTGGAGGTGTGAACACCAAGAGAAGAGAAACTGCTTTTGTACTTGGATAGCCATTCACAGTCTTTGTTTAATCCTAAACTGGTGGTGTCAAATTTGCAGATGAACTGTAGCTCAGCACTTTCTCTCTGAAGTCTGGTCTTGAAGTTTTTTTGCTGCAGGATGGCTACCTTTAAATCTGCTACTGTGTGTCCAGGGAGATTGAAGTGTTCTCCTACTGCTTTTTGTATATTGCCATTCCTAATATCTGATTTGTGTCCATTTATTCCTTTACGTAGGGACTGTCCAGTTTGGCCAATGTATTTCCACTACATGCATTTGACGAAGTGGGTCTTTGCCCACGAAACTTATGCTCCAATACATCTGTTAGTCTATAAGGTGCTATAGGACTCCTTGTCGCTTCTGTCAGATCTCTGGCACTCCCAGCTGGTACATGGGTCTATTAGGGCTCTGCGAATGTCTGGTGACCTCTGATCCCTGGCAGATACAAAGTGTGGAAAAGACTCACAGTTCTGTCTGGCAGAGCAGAAACACCCAGCTAGAGCCCCAAGGAAGATGAACCCTTGGCTGCCAAGGAAGCCACCCTGCCACTGAATTGTTCCAGACAGAGAGGAAGCCATTCAGCAACAGGTAGCTTCTCCTGCTGCCAGTCGCTCAGCCTCTTCCTGTTTCTTGCAGTCCTGGGTGGAGGTCTCTGCTCTGCCCTACCAGGACCAAAGCCTTCCCTGCACCTTCAGGAATTGGATGTCACCTGTTTTGCAACAGCACAGGGATTTCTGTGTAGCTCTGACGCCATGGAATGAAAGAGCATGGCCATGACAGCAGGGCTGCAGAGGGTTCTCTGACCTTTTACCGAGCTGGTGATACCCAATCTCTGCAGGTGAAAAACAGGTAGGGGGGAAGCAGTAGTGGGACCTCCTGCACCTTTAGGGTACATCTAAACTACATCCTTTTTTGATAAAGGAATGTAAATTAGATGTATCGAAATTGTAAATGAAGCCGGGATTTGAATTTCCCGCGCTTCATTAACATAATAGCACTTGCAGCTTTTTTCCCCTCAAAAAGCCGCTTTTCGAAAAAAAATGTGGTCAAGATGGGGATTGTTCGACAGAAATGCCCCATTTCGAAAGATCCTGTAAACCTAATTTTTTAAGGATAAGTTATTTACCTAAAGTCACAGAGCAAGTCAATGGCAGAGGCAGAACACCTGACTCTGTTCTGTGTTTCAACTAAGAGCATGTCTACACAGCAGGCTAATACATGAGATTAGCCTACACAGCAGCACTCCAGCTGCTCTGCCCCCGGCTTCCCTAAGTCAGCCACTGGTAAGTTTCAGCAGCAGCAGACTTGGGGAAGCCGGGGGCAGAGCAGCTCCAATTGTCCGGCTGGCCGAAGCACTTCCGGATTCCAATTGGTGCTGGACTATCAGGACGGCAGGACCACTGGATGCTGGACAATTGGAGTTTTACTGTATAAAGAAAACCCCTACATGTGAACACAATGTAAACAAAAATATAATCAAAATTACATATTGTAACAATACTACAATATGCAAGTTAGCTAGCATCATACATATTTTTGGAATAAGTTGCTTACTTGTTGAAAATTTACTGACCTACGCAAATGGGCATTTTCACTTCTGAGAGGTTGTATAGCAAGTGCTATTTCAGCTTGTACATTAGTACTTCCAACTATGGCTGGTAGTAATGAAACACAGTCTTCTACCTCATGTATTAGCCTTAATATTTCAGAATCATCTACAAAAACATTAAACAAAAAAAGCTGCATTCATATACTTATACACACTAAGCAATTTAGGATATGACTGGACATAAATTCTATTACATTTTAAGATATGTGCAGGGCATTTCATGTTTAAATTACCCATCTTTATTTGCACTTCTTAAATTACTATAGTTGAGTGTGTGGAAATATAGTCTAAATCAGCGGTTCTCAACAAACTGTACACGTACCGTTGGCAGTACACCGAGGTTTTCTGAGCGTTCATCAACTCATCTACACATGTGCCTAGTTTTACAAGCTAAATAAAAAGTACTATGGGACATCTACAATAGGGAGAATATTGGCCCTCCAGAGGTCGATCTTCTAGCATTCAATTTAGCCGGTCTAGAGTAGACCTGTAAATTGAATGCTGAGAGAAGTCCCCGCCAGCATCTGGTAATCCTTGTTTTGCAAAGAGTAAGGGAAGCCAACAGGAGAGTGTGCTTCCATCAGCCTTCCACTGTGTTGGTGCCACCACAGCTCGGTTTAAGGTAAGCCGACTCCAGCCATGCATTTTGTGTAGCTGGAATTGCACACCTTAAATTGACCTGCCTTGTCCAATATAAACCAGGCCCTCGTGAAGTTTATAGTGCTCTTTTTACTATATAGTGAAATGCAAATACAATATTTATATCCAAATTAATGTATTTTATAATTATATAGTAAAAATGAAAAAGTAAGCAATTTTTAGTAATAATGCAGCGACATATTTTTGTACTTCTATGTCTGATTTTGTAAGCAGGTAGTTTAAGTGAAGTGTAAACTGTGATATGCAAGACAAATCAGACTCGTATAAGGGATATAGTTAATCTAGAAAAGTCGAGAGCCATTGGTTTAGATCATTAAATCAAAGCCACCATCTTTCCAACTGATCTCTAAAGGGAAATCCTTCAGAATTTTTCCGCATGATTCCTAGTCACCTCTTATTGGAAGTGTAAAAGCAGAGCTTTCCCACAGACAGTATGCAGAATGAAAATACTACCTTTACTAATAGCTATAGCAATGTTAAGATCTCAGATAAATTATTATAAATCAGATGTTACAAAATTACAATTTGTAATATTCTTTTTAATAGAGCTGTATGTTTTGATCTGAAGGAAGATTAATTGAATGTTTCCATAAGAACGGCTGTACTGGGTCAGACCAAAGGTCCATCTAGCCCAGTATCCTGTCTGCCAACAGTGGCCAGCACCAGATGCCCCAGAGAGGGTGGACCGAAGACAGTGATCAAGCGATTTGTTTCCTGCCACCCCTCGCCAGCTTCTGACAAACAGAGGCCAAGGACACCATTTTATCCCCTGGCTAATAGCCTTTTATGGACCTAAGCTCCATGAAATTATCTAGCTTCTCTTTAAACTCTGTTATACTTCTAGCCTTCACAGCCTCCTCTGGCAAGGAGTTCCACAGGTTGACTACACGCTGTGTGAAGAAAAACTTTCTTTTATTAGTTTTAAACCTGCTACCCATTAATTTCATTTGGTGTCCTCTAGTTCTTATATGATGGGAACTAATAAATAACTTTTCTTTATCAGCCCTCTCCACACCACTCATGATTTTATAGACCTCTATCATATCCCACCTCAGTCTCCTCTTTTCTAAACTGAAAAGTCCCAGTCGCTTTAACCTCTCCTCATATGGGACCCGTTCCAAACCCCTAATCATTTTAGTTGCCCTTTTCTGAACCCTTTCCAAGGCCAAAATATCTTTTTTGAGGTGAGGAGACCACATCTGTACACAGTATTCAAGATGTGGGCGTACCATAGTTTTATACAGGGGCAGTAAGATATTCTGGGTCTTATTTTCTATCCCTTTCCTAATAATTCCTAGCATCCTATTTGCCTTTTTGACCGCCGCTGCACTCTGTGTGGAAGTTTTCAGAGAACTGTCCACGATAACTCCAAGATCTCTTTCCTGATTTGTCGTAGCCAAATTAGCCCCCATCATACTGTACGTATAGTTGGGGTTATTTTTCCCGATGTGCATTACTTTACACTTATCCACATTAAATTTCATTTGCCATTTTGTTGCCCAATCACTCAGTTTGGTGAGATCTTCTTGGAGTCCCTCACAGTCTGCTTCTGTCTTGACTATCCTAAACAGTTTGGTATCATCTGCAAACTTTACTACCTCACTGCTTACCCCTTTCTCCAGATCATTTATGAATAAGTTGAAAAGGATTGGTCCCAGGACTGACCCTTGGGGTACACCACTAGTTACCCCTCTCCAATCTGAAAATTTACCATTTATTCCTACCCTTTGTTTCCTGTCTTTTAACCAGTTCTCAATCCAAGAAAGGACCTTCCCTCTTATCCCATGGCCATGTAATTTACACAAGAGCCTTTGGTGAGGGACCTTGTCAAAGGCTTTCTGAAAATCCAAGTATACTATATCTACTGGATCCCCCTTGTCCGCATGTTTGTTAACCCCTTCAAAGAACTCTAATAGATTAGTAAGACAGGATTTCCCTTTACAGAAACCATGTTGACTTTTGTCCAACAAATTATGTTCTTCTACATGCTTCACAATTTTATTCTTTACTATTGTTTCGACTAATTTGCCCGGTACTGAAGTTAGACTTACCGGTCTGTAATTGCCAGGATCGCCCCTTTTTAAATATTGGTGTCACGTTGGCTACCTTCCAGTCATTAGGTACAGAAGCCGATTTAAAGGATAGGTTACAAACCACAGATAATAGCTTAGCAATTTCCCATTTGAGTTCTTTTAGAACCCTTGGATGACTGCCATCCGGTCCCAGAGATTTGTTAACATTAAGTTTTTCTATTTGTTCCACAACCTCCTCTAATGACACTTCAATCCGGGACAGTTCCTCAGATTCATCACCCACAAAGGACGGTGCAGATTTGGGAATCTCCCCAGTGTCCTCAGCCGGGAAGACTGAAGCAGAGAAATCATTTAGTTTCTCCGCAATGACTTTATCATCCTTGATTGCTCCTTTTATAGCTCGATCATCTAGGGGACCCACAGGTTTTTTAGCAGGCTTTCTGCTTCTAATGTACTTAAACATTTTATTTCTTTTTGAGTTTTTGGCTAGCTGTTCCTCAAAATCTTTTTTTGCTTTTCTTATTACATTTTTACACTTGATTTGACAGTGTTTATGTTCCTTTCTATTTATCTCACTAGGATTGGACTTCCACTTCTTAAAAGATACCTTTTTGTCCCTCACTGCTTCTTTTCCATCGTGGTTAAGCCACGGTGACTCTTTTTTAAGTCTCTTGCTATGTTTTTTTAATTTGGGGTATACATTTAAGTTGGGGTATACATTTAATGTTTATCACAATAGTATATTATGGATTTTAAAGAATGTGCATCCATGTAGCATAGCATTTGTGATATTAATTCTACTGTGCTGATAAAAACATTTTTACCTTGGTCTGACAGTGCCTTGAGCTCTCCCAAAAGATATTTTAATGTTTTAACTTTCTGGGCTGTTTTTTCTGGGCTTGCTTTTTTAGGCTTTAGAATTTTGTTGTCAAAACTTGTCTGACAGCTCGTTTCCCTCACTGGTGCCATATCAACTGCATTCCAGTCCTCCTCTTCACTGCTGGTAGTACCCTCTTTATGGTCCTCAGCAGTTTCTTCTTCTTTGGTATCCGATACCTTAGACTGTGCTGGATCAAACTTTTGGTACTTCTCACCAGCCCTCTCACTCTCTGCTTCATGTGGTTCTAAAAGAGCCAGGTGAGCTTGTACACATCTTATCAAGTCTGCTTCCTTTACTCGTTGCTCATTATTTCCTTGGTTTGAAATCATCTCTCTACCATAAGATGCTGGAAGAAATGCAGATACTGTGGAATTATTTGGCACAACTAGTGGTACACAGGGTGTCGTATGAGAACCAGTCGTGACAGACTGTGCCTGTGAAGAAATACAAGCTGAAGCAGAAACTACTGGGAAAAACACAGCTCTTCCTGCTTGAGATGCACACTGATTGTAACTTTGAGCAGGAACACCCTAAACAGAGAACATATATATATTAAATTATTATTATTTGTATTTTCATGACACTTAAATGCAGCATTGAGATTGCTTTCAAAATTTTGAAAGCAATCTCATTTAATGTGGTTTTGCTCACTGTTGTAATTTTTTAAAAATAAGTTAAAATAGTACTCAAATCTAATCAGGCTACAGGGTTTATATGTTTATACAGCAATAGTTAAAAGGCAAACAAGTTAGGATAACTAATAAGATTAGCTGGTGTTATCTTAAATATTAAATATAATTCAGTAACAGAACTAAATTGAAATTTTGATCTTTATATATTGGGGATGTATACTCCTCACACATTCTGAGTATGGGAGAATGATGCTGAGAAGATTGATCTTCTGCGGTTCGATTTAGAGGGTCCGCTAAAGGACCTGCTAAATTGATCGTGCCCCTATTGACTCTGAAATTCCACAAGGTTGTGAGAAGGGAAGTTATCGGGAAAGTTTCTCCCATTGACCTTCCGAAAACGGGACGTTGCGGAAATTCAAATTAAGGTACGTCGAGTCTGGCTACATTATTCATGTAGCTGGAGTTGCATATCTTAGTTTGACTTTGTACCTTAGTATAGGCCTACCATTAGCTACCAACCAACTGGCTTTTATCTCATACAGTAGAGACTTCTATACTAAGCTATAGAGGTCCCAGATTCAGTTCCACCTACAGATGATCGGGATCTGTTGGAGTTACAAATGGGATAGTATACCACACCCAAAAAGGTATGTGAGTTTCAGAAGGACAAAAGGATTCTGTTTTCTTCACATGATAATTCAATTTCAGTGTGTTTGTATGTGCTAAATGCTATAAACAAGGTGTAAGAAGGCAGTGAGCACATTTTTGACAATTACGGTAATATTACTTAGTGGTTTTGTAGTTCTAGGAAATACAAACTTCCCGCAGTCCCAAATGTCTGCCAAATGAGATGATATCCCATAGAGTATTGATCGAAGATCACATTAGATATGGAACAGTGTCCCTATAGTCAGGTTCCAGATGCCACCAACGTAAACCCTCCTTCCACACTTCCCAAAACTGCAGGAGGGGGTATGCTTTGTTGTTATTTTTTAATAGTGTATCTTGAAATAGATAAGGATATGGTTTGATGTGTTAAAGCTGCATTTTAATATTTGAGAAAAATGGGTTTTACACTATCTCTAGGGTTATTACCAGTTAAAATATTCAAGTTTGGGTTAATGACACAACCATGAGCACAATGAGATTGGGATGTTACACTAATCAGTAACTATCAGTCATTGTCAGAAAAGGGTAGGAAATAGATACTTCACAGAATTCAGCATAAAAAATGAGCAGTACTGTATCTGTCCTTTCATCAGATTTCATGACACACAAAATGCACTCAGTTGTTTCTTTGAAAACATTTCCTATTAAGGCTAAGAAACTGTATAGATTTCAGTAGAAATTAAAGCCACGGAATAAGACAAAGAGGACAACATTAACTTAAATGTTTATTTATAGTTTAAAACTCAAGAGTACTTACAGACTGACTGAATAAAGGATTAGCGGACTGCTGTGGTGACAGAGTTGGTGTGGAGGTAGGTAAACGATAATTAAATACTGTAGCATTTTGATATTCTGAAACAAATAAACAAAAACTAACACTGTTAAATTAAGATTTTTTTTCTTGACAAAAAATTAAACTCAAACCTCAAAAAGAATCTAACTATACAATGACATTTGTACTAACCAGGATCTGAAACAGGGCAAGCAGATGCAGTGGGAATTCCATTACAACTTGATGCAACTTGGCCAGTTATCAGAGACATTTGGGTTTGCACATGCTCACAAAGTTTTTGATGCATCACTGGAGAATGTTGATTGATAGGCACATGATCTGGTTTAACAGGCTGATTTTGTACTGCGTTGGAAAGTTCTCCATCTTTGTCAACAGCAAGTATATTGTAAGAGGCTAATTTCCTATTTGTTACTGGCACTATGGAAAATAAAGTTGAAGTTAGTTTGCTTTTAGCACTACACAAATACAAATATTTACATGAAGATTCTTGACATCAAGCATGTGCTTTACATAAACGTGTAGCCCCCTGAAAAAGAGGAATACCATGTAAGAAAGAGCAATACAATTTAATATATGGAGCTCTAGAGATTTAAATTTCTATCTAGTGACAAACTCTAATCCAACTGGGATTCCTGATCTTGCCATGCACTTCCAGACAGATTCCTGTGCTTAAAGAAGCTATAGTGCAGGCAACATCTAGATAAAAACTACTAATCTTCTCATGAAGATAAGCTTTACTACAAAGTGCCTCAACCCCTTTTTGGATTGATTAATTTGAATAAAATCGACAAAACAATCAAGCCAAAGTAATTTTATTTTATTAAATCAGAGTTTAAAGCTAAGATAAATCACAGAGTTTTATAACCACATTAATTAATTCTGCAGGGTAAGATGGTAAGGAACACATATTTATCTAGGAAATAAAACAGTGAAAATTGAAACATTTTTTTTAAGTAAAAGCCAAATCAAGGACAATTGATTACCAGTTTCTTTATGAATATGGGCAGGAAGAACATTTCTCTTCAGTCCTTTCTTTTTTGAACTATTTCCTTTGGCTAACACAGGCCTGGTATTAGCCTTAAGAGAAGTTACTTTCCCTGGTTTTCGATGTACTGTCTCCATTCCTAAGGTTATATGAAACAAAGTCATTCAAAAAAGTAAATAAAAAAAATATCTAAAGAAACTAAAGTTTAATTTAAAAATTTAATAAGATAAAACCTGTATTCTCATTTTGCAAAATATCCTGCAGTAAAGCAGCACAGCGATCAAGCCCATTATGTATAGTTGCAACCTGCAGAAATAATGTTACAGTCAAAATACAGGCATTAACTTCTTGTAAAACAAAACCAGTTAGAGTAATTAAATAAAGTCAAGAAATTCCTATTAGGAAGGTGTTTTTACAGGTCTGAGTCAAAGTTATTTCTGAATTGGGTTTGAGTCATATATTTATTTACATGCCATTAAATAATTTTTATATGTTTCCTATTTAATGACTTGTTACATTGATAACTGAGAAGTTGTATCTAATGGATTTTAGGTTTCAGCAATTTTAGTTAATTTCTGATTAGCATGTATAAGAGACAAGTTATCTCAAATTACCTGATTCTCAGAGTCAGTGGAATAGAGAGAATAGCCAGAATCCACATCTGAATGGCATGCTTTTCTTAAACCAATCCTGAAAAAGACATTCCCTGTTAACTTCTTATAAATATATTTGGTTTGTACTTTGAGATCTAAAACAATAAACAACTATATACACAATGTGCTGCACTTTAAAACAGAGCCAAATGATGCAATGAGCTAAGTAAGCAACCACTGCAGACATCACAAGCATATATGTTAGGGTTCCTCTAGGCACTTACTCAGCAAGCTTACATGTAACTAGTCACTCTACGCATTCAATAAGATAGGGGGAAATATTAATTAAACTTTCCTCTAAATGCAACATGAAAATCTAAGGCATGTTAATCTTCCCTCTAGTACAGGCAAAACTCCCACTAACTTCAATGGAAATTTTGCCTGTCTAAAGACTGCAGGATCTGCCCTTACAACAGCTTTCAGTTGGGATTTAATAAATGCAAAGAGTTGTTGACAAACTGTTGGCTATTGATTTGTATTAAGGATGTTAAATATCGGGTAATTGATTAATCGAACAGTCAATGCATTTTTGCATTGATTATATGATTATTCGATAGGGCACCTCCACCTTTGAAGTGTAGAAACAGCATTAGAGCTATTGCTACACTTGAAAGGCGAAAGCTCCAAAGCCTGGGGTCAGCTGGGAACTCCCCCGCTGACCCCCAGGCTCCATGCAGCGCTGCTGCTTTGAAATGCTGCAAATCCCCATGGCATTTCAAAGTGGCAGTGCCACGCAGAGCCTGGGGTCAGATGGAGTCCCCAGCTGATCCCAGACTCCACGGCATTCAAAGTGGCAGTGCTGTGTGAAGCACGGGGTCAGCTGAGTCCCCAGATGATTCCGGTCTCCACACAGCATTCCAAGCGGCCGCACCGCACGAAGCCTGGGATCAGCTGGGGAGTCCCCAGCTGCTCCTGGGCTCCACAAGGGACTGACGCTTTGAAATGCCGTGCGGAGCCTGACACTGGACTCCCCGCGCCATTCAAAGCGGCAGCACCGCACAGAGCAACTGACCCAGGGCTCTGTGCAGCACTGCCGTTTTGAAGTACTCCCCTATTTCCCCACACCTTGCTGCCTCTATATGATAGAAGCAGCAAGTGCGGGGGGAGTGACTAGTTGACTATCCTGTGAACTAGTCCTTCACATCCCTAATTTGTATAGCTATTTTGAATGCTTACAGGTAGACAGTATTAATTATTAAATTCTTACTGTTTTTTTCCACTTGTTAACTTAGCTGCTCCTGTTAGCCTTCCAGAAGACAGTACCTGTTGAATTATTACACAAAAATGTACCAATAGTTTTAATTTCAATTAATTATTTTTACAATATAATAGAAATATACCAAATACCATTGGATCGCTAAATCTGAGATAATAAATAAAGTGCAGGAAGGTTGATTTACAAACGTCTAAGGAACAAGGGGGAACACAGTAATGCACACTATGGCTTCAAGACTGCAATCTACAATCACTGATAGACTCCTAAGTACATAGAGCTTCACTGACTTCAGTGACACTTTATGCAGATGCAGCAGTCTACCCACATATAAAATAGTGGGTTGGGGTCTACATGTAGCACACACTGATTTGTTTTGTGAAATGAAGTTATTTCAGTACAGCCCTTCTTCTTTCCTCCAGCACCACTGTCATGGTCTACAGCCTATCTAGCCTTGTTATCTTGTATTGATATGTCAAATTTCACATGTTAAGCTAAAACAGGCCAAGTTAATTAAGAATGGGAGTTGTCAATGAAAAACCCAGAGTGCTACAGAAAGCAGTGCTGGTGATTTCCAAAATGTTTCTCTGCAAATTGGTACTGAATCAATACATTGAAGATCCTATACACCTTTTATACAAGTTCAAACTCAGATCAGTAACAGTCTTAAAATGTAATATAGCATGACTGAGAGGCATTAAGATACAGGAGCTTTATAATATATTGCAAAGGTATTCCCTGGTTTTTAAGCTCAATGCACAGCACTAGTTTTTACTAGCTCTTAATTAATAAGCTGTTGCCATAGCTCAAATATTTATTTGCTGGTAAAATATTTAATACAGGCAGTCCCCGGGTTACGTACAAGATAGGGACTGTAGGTTTGTTCTTAAGTTGAATCTGTATGTAAATCGGAACTGGCGACCAGATTCAGCTGCTGCTGAAACTGATCAGTTTCAACAGCAGCTGAATCTGGTCGCCAGTTCCGA